ATATATACACAAGTATGTATGTTCTGGAACGGGTGTTCCAGGGGCTCCAATTTTGTGTTTTGCACTGAGTGTTTGTTCATAGTCCTAAATTGCAGGGACTTTGCAGATAGGTGGCTTACTTTGGCTGCATTCATAGGGCAAGCCACCTGTCAATAATAGTTAGGATCCCTGGTCCCGCTCCTCTCTGGGTTTTTTTTTTGGAGGGACGGGGCCATTTTTCAGTCACACACAAATAGCCAGTCTATAGGACGCAGATCAGTTGGTCCCGTAGGAAAGGCTTCATTCCTCAAAACCTTTCGGGGAAATAGAAATAGCCATCCGGGGATCATCCAAAGGTGATCCGTGGTCCATCCAGGGGTCATCCAGTGACCATCCAATTCCAGGGAAACAGAAGGAAAAGGTCCCAAAGGCTCTGGCTGAGAGCTCACAGCCTCTCAGCCTCACAGCACCAGAGGGGAAAACAGCCCTGAAGTTTCCACAGGACATCACTGCAGAACCACAGAATTCCAGCTAAACATCTAGCTTCGTCTGGTAGGTTACTCGGTTTCCAGACGCATTTGGGGATTGGCAGTTTTACCCAGACCAGCGAGGCCTAGGTGATGGACGGCCTGGGAGAGATTGCAAAGGGTTCTTCTTTATGTTAAGATAGTACAGTTAAACCAAGTCAGTGCCAGTCTCTTAAAGACTAGTATAAGAAAGCCTTGAAGTGTTGCTTGAAGATTTGTTCCTTAATAAAGACTTTTTTGTACCTTTAAAGAACTCTAAAGCTCATTACTTCTGGAGGTCTCTAACAATCTCTCTTCGGGCACCCCGGCTTCCCACTGGGTTTAAAGTGTACGTTCTATAGAATAAAGACATTTTGTTTGGACCCAGTGGCGACAGAACAATGTATATGTGTATATGTATGTGTATGTTTGTGTATATATATCTCTACCTGTTCTGTCACGCGCTGGGCTTGAAACGAATTGCTTTTAAAACAGGACATGCAACTTTAGCCCAGCGGGAAGCCAGGGGGCCCGAAGAGAAATTCTCAGGATTTTCACCATAAACAGTCTTTGGAGGGCTTATGAAATATAACAAAGTCTTTATTGGTGAACAATCAACAGAAACTCCCTTTATCTTCAAAAGGTTAAACAAATGCTTCCAGGCTTTGTGCAACTAGTGGTTTCTAACTGTTACTTTACTCTAAAGGAAAATCCCTTTCCAAACTTCTCCCAGGCTAACTGTGATCCTAAACCTAACTGATGTGGGTTCCACTACCGGGTTGATCTGCATCTCAAAGCACCAAGTGGACCTACCAGTAGGCCTGTAGTCACTTCAGCTGCAGTTCTTAGATGTTCAAAGCTGTTTTTCCCTCCGAAATTCCTCAGAGCTTTAGGGCTGTTTTCCCTGGGAATCTTTGGGAATCCTTTTGCTCTTAAGACTGTTCTCCCCCGGAAGGTCTTAAGGGTTGAAGCCTTTGTACAGGAGAAAGTCTGTACACGTCCTGTACATTGACTTTCCTTGCTGAGACTGACTAAAAATGGCTCCCTTCCCTTCTCAATTGTCCTGAACAGGGGGCGGAACCAAACTTAATGATGATGGACTGCCCTATAATTGCAAATGATGATGGGCTGCCCTATAACTGCAAACTTTAACCGGAAGCCACCCTTCTGCAGAATCCCAAGCCTTGGGCTGCAAGCAAACACTTAATACAAGGCAAATAAAGTGGGAGCTTCTGGTACAGCTGTACCAGCACAATAACAGTGTTTCCCAACCCATGGTCCATGGAGCACCAGTGGTCCGCAAGAACGAAAATATGGTCCGCAACCTCACCATTACTACACTGCTGCTTCAAAACCCCATGGCAATGAGAGCGACTGGTCTTGCAAAACTCTCTTATAGTGCCAAGGCAACGGAGATGTCGGGAGGGGAGAGGCTCACTACCCACGAGAGATTACTACTACCACATCAGCTCTAGATTATTAAATATGGTTTTCTGTGGGCAAGTAGATAGTGACTACTGGATGGCATACGTTCTGTATCAGAAACTAGAACTGATGTGGTCTAGTCAATGCAATTTTCTGAATCAGCACCCCAAATAACCAAACCAAATCTGAAATTGACCAAAAACTGATTCATAACCCTTTTGGTACTAATATTGAAGAGTGGTCCCTGGTAAAAAAAAAGGTTGAGAACTACTGATCTAGACACATAGTTTATCTATCTATCTATCTTTTATACACAAAATAAAAGTGAAACTATGTATGTGTATGTGTGTGGCTGAGGTGTCCACTTACACAGACAAGCTCCTGCCACAAACATATATAACTCCCACCACTCAAGAGACACCAATTGCCCCCCCCCCCAAATAACGAGTGCCTTGAACATGTACAAGAGCCCTGCCAATGTCCTCCACAAACACAATACTGTCCCCACCCAAGTGAAGGTTTTAATTCGGGGACAATTTCATCCTGGATTTTCTGTTTTTCCTCCTCCACCGGCATCCCAGTGTTTCTTACTCTCTCCACTGGTGGAGAGACCAATTTGCATGACCCTGCCCACTGCCTCTCCCATAACTCTTTCTTATTTTTTTCTATGGCACACACATAGCAAACAGAGAAATTGATCAGCAACTGAACATACTGGAGAGGTTTGGGGAGAATTCACCATAATTTATATGAGTTGTAGGTTCTGGGATGTATAGTTCACCTGCAATCTAAAAAAACTCTGAACTCCACCAACGATGGATCTGGAACTAACTTGGCACACAGAAGCTCCATGACCAACAAAAATACTGGAGGTCTTTGGAGGGATTTATAGGAGTTGTAGTTCACCTACATCCAGAGAGCACTATGACCCCAAACAATGATGGATCTGGACCAAACTTGGCATGCATACCGGATATGCTCAAATTTGATTACTGGTGGTTTTGAGGAGAATTGGCCTGGACATTTTGGAGTTGTAGGTACTGGGATTTATAGTTCACCTTCAGTCAATGAGCACTTTGAATTTCACCAAAGATGGAATTGGATAGGGGTGTGTTTGTATGCGTATATATTTATATCTAGATCTAGATCTCTATCTATATATATCAGGGCAGCCCTGTGACATTACAGGACCTTGAGAATATTAAAAGCATGGGAATATAAGGAAATTGTAGAAGAACTTCTCTAATTGCCTAGAGAAGGAATGTTCGGATTGACAGTGTGTGCAGTTCAGGTATAAACCTCAGCACCTATCTCTGAATATAAGAAAAATAAATGGAAGGAGACAAAAATAGGATATTGTTGCTAATTTACAACAGTTATATAAGGCTTGTGTCAAACCAGGAAACATGTCTCTTTCAGATTGTGTAGCCTGAGGATTGGCCCTTTTGATCACAGTGTATGTGTGTGTGTTTCTGATAGATTCAGAGTGAACAGCTCTGTGCTTAAGATTTAGTTTGCGGAATTGCCCTGTAAGAAAGCAGTGGAGCTATGGATTGGAAAGAGTGGTAGTTGGAGAAAGAAATAGCCTGTGTTGACATTGTATTAATGCTGGGGAAACATATAGTCTTTCTCTGTGTTTTGTGTGTTTGTTTTACAGTACGGTTCTGTGCCAGTCCTCTTGGAAGTTAGTCCAGCTGAGGCTTATTCCCAGGCTAGCAAGAGTATAACCGCCTTGAGTCGCCCTCGGGCTGAGAAGGGTGGTACAGAAATATAGTACATAAATAAATAACATTACAACCTGGATCCCACCTTAAATCCTAGTATTAGGGGGAAACTGGGTATAAATAAAAGGATTGAATAAGGCCCTATCTAGACTGACACATCATACAATTTGGAACTCCATTATATGGTTGGTGCAGATGTATACAAACTGCATTCTATGAGTCTACTACACCAAAACTCAAGGTCAAAGCCCACCAAACCCTTCCAGTCTTTTCTGTTTGTTATGGGAGTTCTGCGTGCCAAGTTTGGTTCAATTCAATCGTTGGTAGAGTTCAGAATGCTCTTTGATTGTAGGTGAACTATAAATCCCAGAAACTACAACTACAACCAATCCCCACACACATCCCAAACCCCACAGGATTCAAATTTGGGCACATCGGGTCTTTGTACCAAATTTGGTCCACTGAATGAAAATACATCCTGCATATCAGATATTTATATTACGATTCGTAATCGTTGCAAAATTACAGTTACGAAGTAGCAACAAAAATAATTTTGTGGTTGGGAGGTCACCACAACATGAGGAACTGCATTAAGGGGTTGCGGCATTAGGAAGGTTGAGAACCACTGCTCTAGGACCTTTTAAAAAGTATCATTGCTGAAGGGATGCTTACAGATTTTCCTATCACACACAAAAAAGGAGTTCCGCAACGGAAAGCTCCGTAGTATTTCAAAAAATATTATTAGAATTCCAACTGCAAATAATCCATTTCTGTGACACTTTGCAGATGGATTCTGATGGAATACTGACGAGATGGGGCAAATGTCATGTGATAGACATCATTGTCAGTCTCAAAAATTGAGCATTTTCTAATGTGATAAAGTCCTAGGCTAGATGAAATATTTCTCATCTTGTCTTCCCAATATGATGAGCCACTGAAGTTGGCACTCAACTAAGGAAGGGTTGGGTAGCTGTGAGTTTTCCGGGTTGTATGGCCATGTTCCAGACGCATTTTCTCCTGATGTTTTGCCCACATCCATGGCAGGCATCTTCACAGGTTGAGGGGTCTGAAGGAAGGGTTCCCTCTAGATCTCAGGTTTTGGCACTGAAGACTCTGGATCTGGGACTATCCTGAATGGACAACCCTAGTCCAGACAGTTGTCATGCACAAGATACCGGAGTCTTCTCTTTGGCCAGCAATGATCTTTAGGTAGGACTCTTCAAGGCAGCCTGCTCTGAAGCCTCAGCGGCCATCATGATACAAGTTCATTTTCATAGGATGGCATGGGATTGCTCACAAATTTCACATCCCAGCCAAAGCTGCTTCTTCGTGACACGTGGGCCGTGTGCGGTCGGCAGAGCAGCGGACGCTGATCTCTTGTGACAGCTGTTCCCGAGGCAGGCAGGCGGCGTGGAAGGGATCGTCATCCAGCCAGGGATGGGTGGAGGAGGAAGAGCAGGGTGATGTTGAAAAGCTTCATGACCCACTTGTCTGGCGGTGCTGCTGGAATGTAGCGCACAAGGAGCGCGATCCGCAACCTGGTGAGTGGTATGTACGCCCCTGGCCATCACCGTAGCATCTATGAAAGACCCAGACTAGAAGGGTTAGGGCTGGAAAATGCTAGGACTTATTTTTGAGAGCAATAGAAGGGCTGGGCGCTCCCATCAGAAAGAGCGACGTGCTCCTTTCCACGTACCGCAGTTGTCTAACAAGGTTCCCCTGTAGTGGGCAGCCAATGGGACTGAAACACTAATGGCATTCATCTATGTTCCAAACAATAACCCATACAACCAGCTCCTAGCATTGGCGTACATCGCACCAAAGACCGTTCTGTGATCACCAAAGGCAAGACCCATGGGCAGCTTCTGCTAGCCTCTCCTTCCTCTTTTTCTCTCTCTCTGCCAGTGTGTTTTAACCAGCTCTGTCTCCTTTTCCTAACAGCATTAAGCAGGGCAAGTAACTGGACAAAGCTATAAAGTGATTGGGAGGAAAGGCATCAGCAATCCAGCCGGCTTCATCCTCGTCTCCGTGCTATGATCTTCCGCCTCAGGCGTTTGACGCCAGGGTACTTCCGCCTGCTACAGGTAAGCGGAAGACTTCCTACCTTTTTGGGCACCTGACTGAGACAACACAGCCTCGTTGGCAACTGCAATTGTTTTAGGCCAGGCATGGGCAAGCTTCATTTCTAAATAGGGGCAGGGTTGGGCATTTTGCAATTAATAAATAAAATAAAAATAGTCCCAAAAATAGATGAGTGCACAGAAAGTAGCACATCACTTCTGTGACATAAGTGTTAGCATATTCCTTTTGAAATGAAATACATTCCACACACTGCTTAAATTATACTATTGTAGAAAACTGGGAGTAACCTGCAATGGTTTTTTTTGTGTGCGTGGAAGGTTTGCGGGCTGCATTTTCTGATATTCAAAGCAAATTCCTGGGATTCTTGAATTCTAAGTGTATTTTTGTACCAGCGCTCTGATTGCTGGATTTCAAGCATGTAGAGGAAAATGAAGTATAGCCAGCTCTCCACATTTGCTGGCATTAGGGGCACAGAAACCCCCACAAAAGTGGGAAAACAGCCAATAAAAACAATTTGTTAACCTGAGATAGCAGGTCTATAGAGATCTCTTGGTCCTCCACTACAATTTTATGGTCATGTTTTGCTAGCAGGTGACCATAAGAATGATGCTGGAGGACCTTCCTAGATAAGTGTTCTGTCTAGAAATCTCTAGATCTAAGTTGATAATAGAATCACACTGGAGGACGCAGAGTAGTGATTCTCAACCTGTGGGCCATTGACCACTGGTGGACCGCAAGACCTAAAATAAGATTAGCGGCTCTAGATCATTAAATATGGTTTGCTGTGGGCAAGCAGATGGCTACTATTGGATGGCATATGCTTTATATCAGAAACTAGAGCTGATGAGGTCTATCTAATGCAGTTTTCTGAATCAGCACCCCAAATAACCAAACCGAATCTAAAATTGACCAAAAACTGATTCATAACCCTTTTGGTACTAATGTTGGAGAGTGGTCCCTGGTTAAAGTGGTCCCTGATCATGTGGTCCTTGTTCAAATAGTCCCAGGTCAAGTGGTTCCTGGTCAAAGTGGTCCCTGGACAAAGTGGTCCCTAGTCAAGTGGTCCCTGGTCAAAGTGATCCCTGGTCAAAGTTGTCCCTGGTCAAGTAGTCCCTGGTCAAAGTGGTCCCTGGTTAATGTGGTCCCTGGTCAAAGTGCTCCTTGGTCAAGTGGTCCCTGGTTAATGTGGTCCCTGGTCAAAGTGGTCCTTGGTCAAGTGGTCCCTAGTCAAGTGGTCCCTAGTCAAGTGGTCCCTGGTTAATGTGGTCTCTGGTCAATATGATCCCTGGTCAAGTGGTCCCTGGTCAAATGGACCCTGGTCAAAGTGGTCCTTGGTCAATTAGTTCCTGGTCAATATGGTCCCAGTTCAAAGTGGTCCCTGGTCAAAGTCATCCCTGGTCAAGTAGTCCCTGGTCAAAGTGTTCCCTGATCAAAGTCATCCCTGGTCAAAGTGTTCTCTGATCGAAGTCATCCCTGGTCAAGTAGTCCCTAGTCAAAGTGCTCCCTGATCAAAGTCATCCCTGGTCAAGTAGTCCCTGGTCAAAGTGTTCCCTGATCAAAGTCGTCCCTGGTCAAATTAGTCCCTGGTCAAAAAAATATTGGGAACCATTGGGTCAATAATTCAGATTATGTTCCTTCCAGCTCTTGTTGTGTGTGATTAGAAGACTGCCAGGATATGCCTGTGAAAATAGACATCCTGGTAATGGGCAATATGTATACAAATACTTTTGGGTTTCATCCCTGACTACAGTCCTCAATGAGTAGTTAATTATCCTAGATAGAATTAGAGTGAGGGATTCTTTTCCCCAAAATCCTATGCATGCATATGCCAGAAAGGGCTTTGTCTCACTCTATTTCCTTGCCACTATCTCCTTCCCCTTTGAAGATTTAGCAATGTGATCTCTGTGAGGGATGAGGTAACATCCTCTTTAAAGGTATTTTTATTGCCTTGGGTTTGGCTAAGTAGTCATTCTCCATTTTGGCCTCCTCTTCCTGCCTTTGTCTTCCATTGAGTAAGGACACATCTTGCAGGCAAGATGTAGTCGCATGGATATTTCCTTATTTTTGTCCTTTTACCTTAATAAGCTAGTTAGCTCCAAGACCCTTTTCTATCTAGAATGGATTCCTTTTTTACTTTAATCTATATAAATAAAAATGTAATGTTCGTTTGTGGAATTAACATAACTCAAAAACCACTGGATGAATTTCCACCAAATTTGGACACGATACATGTATCAGGCCAATGAGTGACCATCACTTATAAAAACACTGAAAAAAACAGCAGAAGAGACTTTAAAAGCCAAAAAATTAAAAATATATTACAATGCATGCACAAACCTACATATATACACATATACACAAATACATAAATATATACATGCATATATGTATATATACACACACAAAGCACATATACACAGAAAGGGGGAAGGAAGGAAGGAAGGAAGGAAGGAAGGAAGGAAGGAAGGGAGGAAGGAAGGAAGAAGGAGGAAGAGAAAGAGGGAAAGAAGGAGGGAAGAAAGAAGAGGGAAGAAGAAGGGAAGGAGGAAGGAAGGGGAAGGAAGGAAGGAAGGAAGGAAGGAAGGAAGGGAAGGAAGGGAAGGAAGGGGAAGGAAGGGAGGGAAAAGGAAGGGAAAGAAGGAGGGAAAGAAGGAGGAAGGAGGAAGAAGGAAGGAAGGAAGGGAGGGAGGGGAAAGGGAAGGAAGGAAGGAAGGAAGGTAGAGAAGGAAGAAGGAGAGAAGGAAATAAAAAGTGAAGGAAGGAAAGAGAGAGGAAGGAAGGAGAGAAGGAAGGAAATAAAAAAGTGAAAGAAGGAAGGAAAGAGGGAGGGAAGGAAGGAAGAAGAGAAGGAGGAAGGGAAAGAGGGAAAGAAGGAGGGAAAGAAAGAAAGAAAGGTAGAGAAGGAAGGAAGGAGAGAAGGAAATAAAAAGTGAAAGAAGGAAGGAAAGAGAGACGGAAGGAAGGAGAGAAGGAACGAAAGAGAGGAAGAGGAAGAGGAAGAGGAAGAGGAAGGGAAGGGAAGGGAGGAAAGAGACAAGAAAGATTGGAACCAAAGAACAAAGGAAGGGAGGAAAGAAACAGGTAGAGAAGGAAGAAAGAAGGGAAACAAGAAGGGAAAGAAAAAGAGGGAAGGAAGGAGAGAAAGAAAGAAAGAAAGAAAGAAAGAAAGAAAGAAAGAAAGAAAGAAAGAAAGAAAGAGGGAGGGAAGGTTGGCTACAGCAACCCATGGCAGGTACAGCTAGTAAATATATATTTTTGAAACCTAAAGTTGTGGCTCCTGCAATCCTGATCCATTCTCTTGAATGGAAACTTATCCTGGCTCACTACACGTAAGCTTCTCCTGGTTATAAACAGTGCTTCTGGCATTCTGCTATATTTTTTTTTTGTGGAAACACCCCAAGTGAGGGTTTTTTTTTAGCTTAACAGCTCTGATTCCCAATTACATTAAATAATACAAATAAATTATGTCCTCACAGATGCAGTTGGCCAGTGGGCCTGAATCTGAACCTCAGGACCGGCTGATGAATCAGTTGGCGCTGCTCTTGGCCATTATGGGATTGAGCCTGTCCTGCTACAGCGCACGGCAAATGAGTGAAGAGACCAAGCCACATCCGGAGCCCTGACCCTCAGCCACTGGGCAGGAGGGACCCAGCATAAAAGAAGATCCCAGCAAAGGAGACAGAAGCAAAGGGAAGTTGGAGACTCGGATGTCTCCTTGGCAGTACAAGACATATTTTTAGGTACACTTAGCATGCCTTGTCTGGGATGTGTGTCTTAGAAGCATCATCATCACCAGTCCTTTCTAGTGTGATCGAAGGCTTGCTCCTGGTGCCCTTTCCAGCAGTACTGAACTCCATTCTCCGAGACCCTCACTAAAAAAGGAGGATATACCAAGTCTTTTCCCAATATGCTTTGTCCTAACTTAAGATGGTTACTGGACCTTGGAATCTCCTCTGCCTGCCCTGGTTGAATCTCCGTCTGAAGTCATGTACAGGTCTTAATGGAGTACAGAGGAAGGGAATGTAGAATTTACTCCGTGGTTGCCTTAGTGTCCAAAGCTAAGTGTTGCCTTAGCTTCCAAATAGCCATTTATTTTGTCTAGATTGAAAAAAAAAAAAACTTTTGGGGACTATGATCCTAGTAATCTCTCAGCCAGCAGGGCTACTGCTGATGTTGGATGGGGGATGCTGGGAGTTGCAGACCCAAAAGTTGATGTTTGGCCCTATTGGGCATATCAAGATTCTCCTTCCATTGGGAGCATTGGACCATTCCATTACAGAGGGTCAAAACAACACTTCTCCAAGGTATATGTGAGATGGTGTCTCTTGCAGGTTCTGCCCCCTTTTGATACTATGCAGCCAGGACTATAAAACAGGCATTCTCAAACTGCGGCCCTCCAGCTGTTTTGGTCTCCAACTCCCAGAATCCCTAGCAAGCTTGTTCAATTCTCAGGAATTCTGGGAGTTGAAGGCCCAAACAGCTGGAGAGCCGCAGTTTGAGGATGCCTGCTATAAAAGAAGGCATAATGCTTAAGTCCAGTGTCAATTCAATACCGAGCATGGTAGGCTTGTTGTGGGGTGTTTGGTTGCTACCTGACCTGGTTTTCTTAATTCTACCTAATGGTAGGGACAGTCCTCTGAGAATGGTCTATCCAAGCCCGTATTTTTAAATATTATTTAGAATTCTCAAACTGAGAGCTCTAGTGCCTCACCAAACTACAAATCCCAACATTCCACAGGATGGAACAGTTGCAGTTAAAGTTGAATTATAATGCCATCGTATCGTTAAAAGCACCTGGGATGCTCAAATGGGTGATGGATGGTGGGCTGCACCATTTCTATGTTTTTGTTTTACTCGATTGGCTTTCCGAAGGCAATGTTTGAATGTTGTTAGAATGCAGCTCTCATCTGCCCTAACCAGCAAAGCCAGGGCAAAGGATGGTGGGAGATGTGGTTCAGCAACATCTGGAAGACTATAAGGTGCCTTCTGGTTTTCAATAGACAAACCAATGCAGAGAGAAGAAGCCAAGATATATATATGGTAAAGGCATAAATCAATGTTTCTCAAGCTAAGGTTTGGGACCCCTGGGGGGGGGGGGTTGCAAGGGGGTTTGAGAGGGGTCGCCAAAGACCATCAGAAAACACATATTTCTGATGGTCTTAGGAACCCCTTTGGGAGAAAAAGCTGAAGGTCTCTCCCCATGTCCTTCTCTTCCTTTTTGGAAACAGATGGTGAACCACCAAAAGTTCTCCTCTGCTGTGATTGGCCGATTCTCATTCAAGGAGAGGGCTGTTTCTGAGACTCCAAGTGGAGAGGGGAGAGCAGGCGTGTTCGGCCCATGCTAGCGTGATGTGCATGTGCAGACAAAGGGAGAGTGAGCGAGGTGGGAAGGAGGCCCATGCCAGCACATGCATTGGTGGGGGTCAGAATACTCTTTGATTGTAGGTGAACTATAAATCCCAGCAACTACAACTTCCAAATGGCAAGGTCTATTTTCCGCAAACTCCAACAGTGTTCACCTTTGGGCATATTGAGTTTTTGTACCAAGTTTGGTCGAGATCCATGATTGTTTGAGTTCGCAGTGCTCTCGGGATGTAGGTGAACTATTATTTGCTTTATTTCTATACCGCTTTTCTCAGCCCTCAGGCGACTCAAAGCGGTGAACAACATCGATACAAAACATCACGAAACAAGTATAGGGCAATTAAAAACAATTGTAACATAAATCATTAGACATCAGTATAACAATCATTAGCGCCTCAACAGTAAAATCAGAATCCAGTCTCGTCATCCATTATTCCGTATTCCTATGTTCAATTACACTGTTTAATCAAATGCTTGTTCGAACAGCCAGGTCTTCACTTTCCTTCGAAACGCCAGCAGGGAGGGGGCCGAACTGATATCTACAGGCAGGGCGTTCCACAGCCGAGGGGCCACCACTGAGAAGGCCCTGCTCTCGTTCCCACCAAGCGCGCCTGTGACGCAGGCGAGACAGAGAGCAGGGCCTCCCCAGATGATCTTAGTGTCCTAGTCAGTTCATAGGGGGAGATGCGTTCGGAGAGGTAAGTAGGGCCAGAACCGTTTAGGGCTTTATAGGCTAACGCCAGCACTATAACTCCAAAACTCAAGATCAATGCCCAATAAAACCGGGCAGTATTTTTTTTTTTTTTGGTCATGGGAGTTTTGGGTGCTAGGTTTGGATCAATTCAATCATTGGTGGAGTTCAGAATGCTCTATAAATCTCAGCAACTACAACTCCCAAATGACAAAATCCTCCACTCCCTCCCAACATGCCACCAGTATTTAAATTTGGGCATATTGGGTATTTGTGCCAAATATGGTCCAGTGAATGAAAATACATCCTCCATATCAGATATTTACATTACGATTCAGAACAGGAGCAAAATGACAGTTATGATGTAGCAATTAAAATAATTATATGGGGTCACCACACCACGAGAAAGTGTTTTAAGGGGTCGCGGCATTAGGAAGGTTGAGAAACACTGACATAAAGCCCGATTCCCAGGTTAGCGGTTGAAAATGTGGACAGAAGGAAGACCTCTGCTTTGTATCTTTCCCCACAAAAAGGCAATTCGCCCAGGAGTGCTTTCCCAATTGTCTCTGATTCAATAGATGGGGAGAAAGAGAAGGAAGTGCAATTGAAAGGGTTTCCTGCAAATTATTTAATTGCAGTGGTCCATGTGCCACCGCTTGCCTCCTGCTCGGTTGGCAAGAAGGGCACATGACGGGGAGCTGGAGAGAACCGCAGACTGGCTGTTACATAACCAAACATGTGGCCAGACAGCTGTGACCTAAATCATGCCTGTAAATGCACGATTAGAAGGGGAAGGGTTTTTTTTTAAGCGTCTAGACTTCTATTTTATATATGCCAGGAAAGAGGATAAGGGAGGTGTATATTCCCCCAGGGAGGAGAGCTTAGAACAGGCATGGGCCAACTTCAGCCCTCCCTCCAGGTGTTTTGGACTTCAACTCCCACAATTCCTAACAGCCGACAGGCTGTTAGGAATTGTGGGAGTTGAAGTCCAAAACACCTGGAGGGAGGGCCAAAGTTGGCCCATGTCAGGTTTAGAAACATAACTTTTTGCCCATGTATGATCTGTCCATCTACCTGTTTGGATTATATGTATGGCTAGGTCTTAAGTAACATCTGAACAGTTACCATTCATTCCTCTTATCCCAGCAGAAATGAGATAAAACCCGTTGCATTGACATTAAATCTATTTTGCAGCATTTTGTCTCCGTCTTCCTTGCTTTCTAGGAATGATTGTTTCCCAGGAGAGAAAAAACTAATATTGTTCACAGGTGGAGAAAAGCTGTCCTGAGTTTTTTGGTCAATAACTTGAAAGCGCTTCACTACTGATTTTATTTCCTAATTTATTTCCGAAAACATCTGAAAATCCTGCAAATTAATTCCAGTAACTCCTGGATCAGATTTTCAACAGGTATGGAAATGGCTCCTTTCTTGGTGCAGCTGCCCGCTCCTCCTCAAGAGAGAGCAACCAAATGCTGAAGTTGCCTTTACATGCAAAATGTAATCTAGTCTTGCTACAAAATGAAGGATGCCTATCTTACTGATCCTTGCCCAATCATTCGTATACGATGTTCTGAATTTTAAAATATTTTTCAAAGTTGAGATACAGATGTGTTGACAAAGGCTTTCATGGCCGAAATAACTAGGTTGCTGTGAGTTTTCCAGGCTGTATGGCCATGTTCCGGAAATATTTGACAGGAGCTGGGGCTAACAGCGGGAGCTCATCTCACTCCTCAAATTCGAACCACCAACCTTTTGGTCAGCAAGTTCAGCAGCTCAGCACTTTAAACCACTGCACCACCAGGGGCTCCTGTATGTATGTGTGTGTATGTCTGCATGTATGTCTGTGTGTGTGTGTGTGTTCATTTGTGGGATTAACCTAACTCAAAAACCACCGGACAAATTGACAACAAATTTGGACACAATACACCTATCAGGCCAACGAATGACCATCACTCATAAAAATACTGAAAAACATTGCGGAAAAGACTTAAAAAGCCAAAAAATACATTACAATGCATGTGTAAAACAACATATATACACATATACACATATATACACACACAAAACACATATACACAGACTGGGCCACAGCAATGTGGCAGGGGATGGCAATATATATATATATATATATATATATATATATATATACACACACATACACACACACACACACACACACACACATACATACACACACACACACACACATATACACAGACTGGGCCACAGCAATGTGGCAGTGAACGGGGAATATATATATACTAGCTGTCCCCTGCCACGCGTTGCTGTGGCCCAGTCTGGTGATCTGGAAAATAAAGTAATGAGAAAGTGTTGGTGTCTAATATATGTAATTCCTTTATGCTTGTGAGTAAACAGTATTTCTTGTTGTTTCTTTGTCAGTGTTGATGTGGAGTGTGTCTGGTTTGCCTACTCTGGAACATGCAACATATCATAGTCCTTCTTTTAAGGGTCTCTTTCAAATCTATGATACTATATCTGTGTGTGTGAGAGAGAATCATATCTATCTATCTATATTTATGACTGGATGGCTCTTTGTCCGGAGGGCTCTGATTAGATTTTCTTGCCCTGGTGAAGAGAGTTGGACTGGATGGCCTTAAGTATTTTCTGTTGGTCATGGGGGTTCTGTGTGGGAAGTTTGCCCCATTTCTGTCGTTTGTGGGTAATTGTAGTGAACTACGAATCCCAGTAACTACAAATCCCAAATGGCAAGGTCTATTTCCCCCAAACTCCATCTGTGTTCATATTTAGGCATATGGAATTTTTGTGTCAAGTTTGGTCCAGATCCATCATTGTTTGAGTCCACAGTGCTCTCTGGATGCAAGTGAACTACAACTCCCAAACTCAAGGTCAATGCCCACCAAACTCTTCCAGTGTGTTCTGTTGGTCATGGAAGTCCTGTATGCCACGTTTGGTTGAATTCCATCATTGGTGGTGTTCAGAATGCTCTTTGATTGTAGGTGAACTATAAATCCCAGCAACTACAACTCCCAAATGTCAAGGTATATTTCCCTTAAACTCCATCTGTGTTCATATTTGGGTATATGGAATATTCATGCCAAATTTGGTCCAGATCCATCATTGTTTGAGTCCACAGTGCTCTCTGGATGTGGGTGAACTATAATTCCCATACTCAAGGCCAATGTCCACCAAACTTGTGTGTCTAAAAAGTGTGTTGCCAACATGAGAAGTTTGGAAAGCCCTGTGCTAAACAACAGAAATCTGATGTGCTTGAGTGTGCTCCTATCAGCAAGATCTTCATCTTTGGAAGAACTGTCTCCATAACCATGAGGCCTGCGATGTTAAACATAAAAGGTCAAGATTCTCAAGAGTCGCACACATCCTGTGATTAGAGACCTAGTCAAAGGCTAACACCGCTGCATGGCTTTGTCCCTCTAAAACAGCTAAGCGAGGAACAACAGCAACGAGTAAAAGCATCCATCTCTCTCCTTGCAAAAGCCTTTGTACTGAGGCTTAATCTCTGCTGATTAACAGGAAACGATATGCTTGCTTCAGCATCTGTTGAGAGATACATACATTGCAGGAATACGTGTGGTGGACAGTATGTGCCCTTTGGATGCACACAAGCCAGGACTCAGTGTGCATTACTACCACTTTTAGCAGCCACAGACATGATTTGTAGGACTTGTAGTAGCAATTCTCCAGCCCCCATTGGAGATCAGCCAAAACAGAGATGGGTTGTTGTAGGTTTTTTCGGGCTATATGGCCATGTTCTAGAGACATTCTCTGCTGACGTTTCGCCTGCATCTATGGCAAGCATCCTCCCATAGATGCAGGGGAAACGTCAGGAGAATGCCTCTAGAACATGGCCATACAGCCCGAAAAAACCTACAACAACCCAGTGATTCCAGCCATGAAAGCCTTTGACAATAACACAAAACAGAGATACAAGGGGCACTTTGTTTGAGAATCAGGACATCCATTGAGACACCAAGGTGCTTGTTTAGAAAGACATTGTCCTCCCAATCCTGTTATACGCCTGCGAAACGTGGACTGTCTACAGACGTCACACTCAACCCCTGGAATGATTCCAAATTGCCTCCGAAAAATCCTGCAAATCTCTTGGGAAGACAGGTGGACAAATGCAGCGTGCTGGAAGAAGCAAAGGCCACCAGCATTGTTGTCCTAATGCCCAATCACCATCTCCCAAAGCAGTTACTCTACTCCCAACTCAAGAATGGGAAACGTAATGTTGGTGGACAGGAAGAGATTTAAAGATGGGCTTAAAGTCAACTTTAAGAACTGTGGCATAGACACTCAGAACTGGGAAGCCCTGGTCCTTGAGCGCTCCAGCTGGAGATCAGCTGTGACCAGCAGTGCTGTGGAATTCGAAGAGGCACGAACTGAGGGCGAAAGGGAGAAACGTGCCAAGAGGAAGGTGTGTCAAGCCAACCGTGATCGGGACCATTTTCTACCTGGAAACAGATTTCTTCACTGCAGGAGAACATGTGGATCAAGAATAGGGCTCCACAGCCACCTACAGACCCACCACCAAGACACTACACTTGAAGAACCATCATCCTTGGGCTACGGAGGATCGCCTAATTAAGTAAGTAAAGTAAGTAAGTACTCAAAAAGCATTGCTACCACTCTCATCAGCCTCAGCCATGATTTGTGGGAGTTGTAGTAGCAATTCTCCAGCCCTCATTGGAGATCAGCCAAAGCAGGGATACATGGGGCACTGTGTGTACAATGGAACTCTCAATATTCAACTCACTCAAGTGTAAAGGTAGGATATTTCCTTGCGATCGAGAAAACATATTTGAAATACATATTTGAAATATGTTTGGAAAACGTATTTGAATACAGAGGTAGGCAGACTTCCTACCACTTTAAGCACATAATCCTTTGCTGTATCAGTTCTTTCTGGGACTTGGAAGTCCACAACATCTAGGGGGGCAAAAGATTCTCCACCTTCAGGATGGCAGGAGGGCATTTTTTTCTGAAACATTCAAGCTCACTTAATGGATTAAATCCAGAGTTTGAATTCCATGTGGATAATTCATTCGTACAGCAACTTGGGCAAAACAAGATGTCAAGACCTTCAACAGCAATACTTAGCATATTTCCCCGGAAAAAAGTCCGAGTCTTATATAAATTTTGGTTCTAAAAGACATATTTGGGCTTATTTTCAGGGGATGTCTTAATTTTTCCTGTACACAAATCTACATTTCTCCAAACACAGTTCATGTTGTCATCTTACTATGCCAATATTACTTATATTTAAAGATATATTAATATTAATTAGCTAATTAATGATATATTAATTAGCCTTCAAATGCTAATGAAGGTTGTCAGTTGAAACATTCACACCTAGCTCTAGCAGATAAGAGCTCTTTGCCCCACCCCAGCCATTCCATAGATATATAAACCCATTGTCCTATTTCCAACAAACCTCACTACCTCTGAGGATGCTTGCCATAGATGCAGGCGAAACGTCAGGAGAAATGCCTCTAGAACATAGCCCTATAGCCCGAAAAAACCCACAAGAACCTATATTAATATTATTTGATCATTCAATACGTCAGTTGTGTGTTGAACGGTAAATGCGTGCATGCCTGTCTGATAATCTGAACCAAACCCATTTTGATGGTTAGGGCTTATATAACAAGTTTCCTGAAAAATTATGCTAGTGCTTATTTTCCAGTCTGGTCTTATTTTTAGGGAAAGCTTTTCCTTTTTGCATACTGTACAGCTCTTCTCAACCTGGGGGGGGGGGGGGGTCAAGACGCAAGAGGCTTTCAGAGAGGTTGCCAAAGATCATAAGGAAACACATAATTCTGATGGTCTTATGAACCCCTTTGGCAGAGAAGGGTGAAGATCTCTCCACCTGTCCTTCTCTCCCTTTTTGGAAACAGATGGTGAATCCTACCACCAAAAGCCCTCCTTCTGCTGTGATTGTAGGTGAACTATAAATCCCAGCAACTACAACTCCCAAATGCCAAGGTCTATTTTTCCCAAACTCCACCAGTGTTCACTGAATATTTGTGCCAAGTTTGGTCCAGACCCGTCATTGTTTGAGTCCTAAGTGCTCTCTGGATGTAGGTGAACTACAACTCCAAAACTGAAAGACACTGCCTATCAAACCCTTCCTGTCTTTTCTGTTGGTCATGGGAGTTCTGTGTGCCAAGTTTGGCTCAATTCCATTGTTGGTGGAGTTCAGAACGCTCTTTAATTTCAGGTGAACTATAAATCCCAGCAACTTCAACTCCCAGATGACAAAATCAATTCCCCCAACCCCACCAGTATTCAAATTTGAGCGTATCGGGTATTTGTGCCATATTTGGTCTAGTGCATGAAAATCCATCCTGCGTATCAGGTACTTACATTATGATTCGTAACAGAAGCAAAATGACAGTTATAGCAACGAAAATAATTTTATGGTTGGGGGTCACCACAACATGAGGAACTGCATTAAGGGGTCATGGCATTAGAAAGGTTGAGAAACTGCTGCTCTAATAAGTGTCCTCTGATGCATTCAGATCAAATCAGCAAAATACACAACCCAAGGGGTATCCAGGTTAATGTATGAAGAAGACTTTCTCAAGATATGGAAGAGGCCGCATTACAAACAAAAAAACACTTGAAAATCCACAGCCAGGGCTGATAAATAGAAATCATTGTAAAAGCAGAAATTAGTTATATAATCAGGTCAATAGGACAGTGAGGTGCCTGCTCTTCTCTTCCCTGACCTCCCACTGAACTCTGGGTGATGCAAAAGCGGAGAGTGTGGAGTGGCTTTTGTACAGCAAAAAAATCCAAAACTCTAATCTCTGCCAAAAAAACCCCATCTGCTAGCTTTTATGCCTCAGTCCTTACTATAGTGAAATGGTGATGTTTAAAGACACAGTCCACATCCAATTGGGCCAAGAGCTGTTATAGTCTGGTTCCTCTTCAAGTGGATTCCTCCATTTCTTCAAGGGGCTGGGTATGGACTTCGACCTTCTTGGGGGGAATGTAGGACCCCATCCCGGCTGCTCTCTCTGCTTCCTCCTGGGTGTACGGCTCCTCGCTCAGCTCTTTCAACCTGAAATAAAACACATTTTCAGGCACTGATGTCCCACTTCATGATTTGACATGACTACATAAAGCTACATAATACAACGGGACTGATACAACATGAATCACATAATGTAATGGTTTCCCACGACATTAAGTCTAGTCATGTCCAATTCTGTAGGGTGGTGTTCATTTCTAAGCCGAAGAGCCGGCGTTATCCGTAGACACCTACAATGTCATGTGGCCAGCATGACTGCATGGAGTGCCGCTACCTTCCCTCCAGAGCGGTACCTATTGATCTATTCACATTTATTTTCTAACTGCTAGGTTGGCAGAAGCTCACTTCACTCCACCAATTTGAACTGCCAACCTTTTGGTCAGCAAGTTCAGCAGCTCAGTGGTTTAACCTGCTGCACCACCAGGGGGCGCTCACATAACATATCCATCTTATAATTCACTTTTTCCAGATTACTAACCACAGGAAGCACATACATCTATGCACACAGATATGTTAAAACGACACTGTTCAGTTAACAGTAAATTCATGTCCTTCATTCCAAACATCAATTCATGTCCTTCATTCCAAACACCACCTTAAAGTGTGGGGAGGCTAAATTAACTGATTTATGAGGCCATAAAGAAGACTCCAGCAAAGCATTCCAGCAGGGAAGCATGTGGGGAATGCGGAAGTGCTTCATCAGCGTCGCAGATGGACGATGAAAGCGACAGCTCCCCTGGCGGCCAGAAAACGTTAAATAGCCTCTGTGTATGTCTGTATATGTTTGTATGTCAAAAATTGGCACTGAATGTTTGCCATATATGTGTACACTGTAATCCGCCCTGAGTCTCCTGCGGGGTGAGAAGGGTGGAATATAAAAGCTGTAAATAAATAAATAAATAAACATAACGGAACAGATTGAGGCTATAGCCAATCTACTTTGGTTATTATTTCAACCTTAAAACCTACTAGCCAAAATCTGGTGCAAAAGATATGCAGTAGAATCTCACTTATCCAACATAAATGGGCCAGCAGAATGTTGGGTAAGCGAAAATGTTGGATAATGAGGAGGAATTAAGGAAAAGCCTATCAAACGTCAAATTACGTTATAGATTTACAAATTAAACGCCAAAACATCATGTCTGAAATCCAAAATATCTGGAAGACCAGAGTTGAGAACACACTGCTATACTGTAGATTAACCATCTCTAGAATTTCATATTGAGCATAGAGGCGATACTGGAAAACCAAAGTTTGCTAAACACTGATATTGGTCAACTGCCTCCAGAATCTCATGTGGAGTTGGGTGGTTCTGTGTTGATAGGGCTTGGCTTATGCCTTCCAGCCTAGCAGAATGGGGCTGGACTGGGTAGCCTCTTAAGGGAAGGGGTCACTTGCGTTTCTAGGATTCTATGCCTCTAATTATCCTTGCTTGGCTTACAAGAGAAGGAGGAGGAGAAAAAAGCCAGAAGTACAAGTTGCTACAAGGCTTTCAGAGGTAAAAGAGGGAGGAGGAGGAAGAAGGGAGAGTGCATGGGGGAGAAAAAGGAAGGGGGGGGGGAGAGAGGGAGGGAGGATCTGGAGTAAAGTGTGTGTGCAGGAAGAAAGGGGGGTCCTCCACCTGCCCAGCCAGGTAAGGCGATGACAGACAGCCCTCCCCGCCCTGCTCGCCAGCCCCAACTTGGCCTTGCCTTGCCCCCTGCGGCCCTTTCCCAAGCCCAGGCCCACCACCTTGGCTTCTCTCCCCCCTTTCCTTCCTTCCAGCCACAAGCCCTTCTCCCGCCTTGATTTGGAAACAAGGCTGAGTTGGAGAAAAGTCCCCAAAGCAGGAGAGTGAGACTCTGCATGCGCCAAGAGCAGAGAAAGAGAGATAGCCATCGCGTTTCCTTTTTCCCTCCTCCCTCCCTTCTTTTTTCCCCTCCCATCCCCCTTTCTCTTTTGATTCACCCCCTTTCCTCCCTTCTCTTTGGAGATGCGCTTTCCTCCTCCTCCTCCCAGTTTTTGAGCACGAAAAGAAAGCCACCTACTCTCATGAGCACATATCAAAGGGTGCAATGCTTCCAATTGGCCACATGAGGGCATAATATGGAATGCAAGATGACTGGAGGTCGGATAACTGAGACTCTATTGTATATTCACCTTTAAAAACAATACCAGGAATCTGCTTGGGGCGAAAGGTCCACACAAAAGGAGCTCACAGCTCTTTCATGCAGATTTCTATTCCTTGTTATCCCTAAGCTGTTTTCATTTCAAAGGCGTAATTCAAAGCACCAGGCTGCAGTTGTAAATGTTGTTGCAACTGTTATCTCACTAGAGTCATAAAGTCTTAGGGATCTATTCCACACAGAAATCTAACAATACCCCCAAATCCACATTCTATGTTCTCTGGAAAGTCTCCACCACTGAACATTGTTTATGCATTACATGGTCCAAATATATATTTTTTAAAAATGATTTCCCAGTAAAGTTTTGAATTTGTTTAAAGTTGCGTATCAAGATTGAGTTTTAATACAGCTGAGGCAAGAATGTAACCATGAAAAACTTCTCATCTAAAGAAAAGGTGTTGTTGTTTCTAAGTTATAGTGACCCTGTCAAAACATTTCTAAGTTATAGTGACCCTAAGGTGGACATATCACAGGGTTTTCTTAGCAAGATATATTTGGAAAAGGTTTGCCTTTGCCTTCCTCTATGAAGCTGTGTGAGCAGGAACTGGAATGGAACTCTGGTCCCCAGACCCTTAGGGTGCATCTATACTGTAGAATTAAATCAGTTTGATATCACTTCAACTACCATAGCTCAATAGCCTGCCTGCGTGACCGCATCTCAGTTTACAAACCCACACAACTTCTTCCATCTTCCAGAGAGGCCCTTCTCTCGCTCCCGCCTCCATCGCAAGCGTGACTTGTGGGGACGAGGGACAGGGCCTTCTCTGTAGTGGCCCCCCGGCTCTGGAACTCACTCCCCAGAGAGATCCGACAAGCCCCCTCACTGGCAATTTTCAGGAAGAAGCTGAAAACCTGGTTATTCCAATGTGCCTTCAATGATTGAATGTAGGACACTCCCTGACTAAAATGACCTCAGAAGCACTTTAGTTTATGGCTCGTGCAATTAAATCCTTCCTCATCCCGGTTCCCCATCATGACAATCCTTACATTACCTATCTCCCATTGTTTTTATAATTTTAAATTTTGTTCTGATGTGGCCCTGCCCTGTGGATTTTTGTGTTTGATTTTATATTGCTGTGTTGTTTTTATTTTGGTTTTTGCATTAAATGTTGGTTCTCTTGGACATCTCAGCGGCTTTCGATACCATCAATCATGGTATCCTTCTGGGTCAACTCTCTGGGATGGGTCTCGGGGGCACGGTTTTGTCGTGGCTCCGATCCTTCCTGGAGGGTCGATCCCAGATGGTGAAGCTGGGAGATGCCTGCTCGGATCCCTGGCCTTTGACCTGTGGGGACCCGCAAGGCTCCATTCTGTCTCCCATGCTTTTTAACGTCTACATGAAACCGCTGGGAGAGGTCATTTGGAGTTTTGGAGTTAGGTGCCACCTCTATGCAGATGACACACAACTCTTTTACTCATTTCCACCTAACTCCAAGGAGGCCTCTCGGGTGCTGGACGAGTGCCTGGCCGCTGTGTCTACCTGGATGAGGAGGAACAAGCTGAAGATCAATCCCGACAAGACAGAGGTCCTCCTGCTCGATCGTAAACCTGACCGGGGTATAGGGTGGCAACCTGTGCTGGACGGGGTTACACTCCCCCTGAAGCCACAGGTCCGCAGTTTGGGAGTCCTCTTGGATTCATCGCTTACGCTTGAGGCTCAGGCGTCGGCGGTGTCTGGGAGGGCTTTCGCACAATTGAGACTCGTGCGCCAACTGCGACCGTACCTTGAGAAGGATGATCTGGCTGCGGTGGTCCATGCCTTGGTCACCTCCAGATTGGACTACTGCAATGCGCTCTACATGGGGCTGCCCTTGAAAACGGCTCGGAAGTTCCAACTGGTCCAACAGGCAGCGGCCAGGATGTTAAGTGGGGCCCCTTACAGAGAGAGGTCAACCCTCCTGTTCAAGGAGCTCCACTGGCTGCCGTTTATTTTCCGAGCCCAATTTAAGGTGCAGGTGCTTACCTACAAAGCCCTGAAAGGGACCATCCTACCTGCGTGACCGCATCTCCATCTACGAACCCATGCGTTCACTTCGGTCATCTGGAGAGGCCCTGCTCGTGATCCCGCCTGCGTCGCAAGCGCGTTTGGTGGGGACACGAGACAGGGCCTTTTCTGTGGTGCCCCCCCCCCCGACTCTGGAACACCCTCCCCAAAGATCTTAGACAGGCCCCTACATTGGCAGTCTTCAGAAAGAACTTGAAGACCTGGCTGTTCCGATGTGCCTTCCCAGATTAGGAAATCTCCAATACCAAGTCCCATAAGCACTTTACTAGAACTAAGATTGCTGCACACCGCACACTGCACTTGCCCTATAATCCTACATACCTCCTGTCACATCAGCACTTTTAATCCTGTACCATTTACTCTGGCCCAGCCGTTTTATTATGTCTTAGTGTATTGTTTATTGCTTGTTGTTTAATACTGCTTTAATTGTTTTTAATTTGCTTTAGGTTTTGTATTGTTATATTGTGTGTTGAGGCCTTGGCCTTTGTAAGCCGCATCGAGTCCTTCGGGAGATGCTAGCGGGGTACAAATAAAGTTTAATAATAATAATAATAATAATAATAATAATATGTTTTATGTATACTGTGTTTATTGTGTTTGATGGGCGTGGCCTCATGTAAGCCGCCCCGAGTCCCCCTAGGGGAGATGGAGCGGGGTATAAATAAAGTTTTATTATTATTATATCATTATGGAATCCTGGGGGTTGTCGTTTGATGAGGCACCAGCCCTCTTGGCAGAGAAGACTAAAGAACTTGTAAAAATATAAGTACTGTGATTCCAACGCATTGAGCCATGGCAGATAAAAGTGCTATCCTCCTTTAGCATTTCTTCCTTTAAAACATTCCTGTGTAGATGAGATTGTTTAAAGATCCAGCTTTATGAATCAAGGAATGGAATTTGATTTCAGTTTTTTAAACTTTGTTTTTTAAACCCCGTTTTAATATTGTGTATTCTGTTATCATTGTCTTCATGTGATTTGTTTTATTACTGAATGTTCTGTTTTATTTATTTGGGATTGTTTAGTCTAGTGTTGTATTTTATGGCATTGAATGTTTGATTTCTGCCAACCTAGCAATTCGAAAACAAATGTAAGTAGATAAATAGGAACCACATTTTAAAAGTGAGGATGTATTTATTTAGGCTGGCATTTCGATGAGAAAAAGGAGGGTGTTTACAAACAAAGAAAGCTTTTCAGCAGGAAGATGGAGCAACAGCACCTCCTGGTGGCCGGAACCGAGCACAGCCTCCGAAGATGTTGAAAGATGGGAAAGCCTATATACCTCGATCTGTTGTCTGTCTTGTCACTGTTATAATCCACATTGAAAGTTTGTCGTATATGTGTTCTGTAATCCGCCCCTTCGGAGTGAAAAAGGTGGAATATAAGTATTGTAAATAAATAAATGTTATGTTGTGAACCGCCCTGAGTTCTCGTGGGGAAATAGGGCGGGATGGAAATAAAGTTTTACTTACTTATTTGCTTACTTTACTATCAAACTGCATTCATTTTGTACCATTTTGTAAATTGTTTGTAACACTCAAACAATTTACACCATGCTGGCTCTCAGAAAAAGACTATAGGTATAATACACAGAAATTCCGTTACCTCTTTTTGTGAACCTTAGACCGGAAGTGATCCTTCATGCTTTTGAGATCGACAAAATACCGCCTGTTGAGGGAGGAAAGAGAGAGAGGAAAAGTTATAAAAGCAAGGTGATGCTTATAAAGGTCACGTCTGAATAGGCAAGACAATTTAATTCACATGTGTATATGTATCCATAATGACGTCATCATCATCAAAATACAAGTCTGAAATGTATAAAGATGGTCATCAGAACTACTGCCCCTCTTTTCAGATAAGACCCACATCTCAACAGAGCACTGGCTAAGGAAGCTCAGTCAATCTGCATTCAGAAACTGGATTATATGACAATCCTATGATTAGGTCAGAAGTTGGGAGGCGCTTGGAATCACGCACTGACAATGGGTTGAAAGTACCTAGATGTTTTGTAGCTCTATGAAAACAATATTCTGGGTTGCTGTGAGTTTTCCAGGCTGTAGGGCCCTGTTCCAGTAGCAGTCTCTCCTGACATTTCACCCACATCTATGGCAGTCATCCTCAGAGGTTGTGAGGTCTGTTGGAAACTAGGCAAGTGGAGTTTATATATCTGTGTAATGTCCAGGGTGGGAGAAAGAACTCTTGTCTGTTGGATGCAGGTGTGAACATTGCAACTGGCCATCTTGATTAGCATTGAATAGCCTTGCAGTGTCAAATCCTGTCTGATTCCTGCCTCACTCCACACATATGAGGGGTATTTTTTAAGTAAGGTCCGTTTTTTTGTAGACACTAGTTCGTGCGCATACCGCAACGAGCGCGTGCGTCGTGTACCGGCATGCCTCGGGAACAACTGTGCTCAGTTTCCGCTCTGTAGCTAACCTGTACAGTTCTGTTCTGTGCTTTAAAAATGTTTAAGACTATCAACTCACCCTCCGCATGTGAGGTTCGCTCAGTGATACGGTTTTTGTCAGCAAGGAACCTGCCTGCTACAGAAATTCATCGACAGATTTGTGAAGTGTACTGTTATGAGTGAAAGCAAAGTGCGCAAGTGGGTACGACAATTCAACGTCCATGATGAGGACCGCTCCAGTCGCCCTTCTTTGATTACAGACGATTTGGTTATCGGAGCAGGCGGCAAGTTTTTATGAAGAGGGTATTTTAAAATTGGTTCAGAGGTATGATAAGTGTTTGAACAAACTTGGCAACTAAGTCAAAAAATAGAGTGAAGTATGTACTTTCTGGAGAGACATGGCAGAATATGAAGTTTTTAAAAATTGTTATTATAACTATTATTTAGGCAGAAAAAATGAAATGCAAAGATAAAGAATGGGGGACGATGCCTGGCTCGACAGCAGTACATGTGAGAAAGATCTTGAGAGTCCAAGCTGGAATGTGTCCAGAGGAGGGTGAATCAAAGGACCCAGGGTCTGGAGAACAAGCTCTATGAGGAGTGGCTTTAAGAGCTGGGCATGTTTAGCCTGCAGAAGAGAAGGCATAGAAGAGACATGATGAAGGTCATGTATAAATATGTGAGGGGAAGTCATAGGGAGGAGGGAGCCAACTTGTTTTCTGCTGCCCTGGAGACTAGGAAGTGGAGCAATGGCTTCAAACTACAGGAAAGGAGATTCCATCTGAACATTAGGAAGAACTTCCTGACTGTGAGAGTTGTTCAGCAGCTCTGTTACATTCCCCTGTGTGTTTTAAATTGTTGATTTAAACTGTTTTGTAATTTGTTTTTTAGTAACTGCTTTACTGGGGAGCTCTCTTTCCCCTTCCCAGGGTGCTTGTGCCCCGCTTTGTGCTGGTCAGTGATTGTAATAAAGTTTTATATTATATTGTATAGCAGTGAAACGCTCTGCCCCGGAGTGTGGTAGAGGCTCCTTGTTTGGAGGCTTTTAAGCAGAGGCTGAATCATAATCTGTCAGGACTGTTTTGAATGCAATTTTCCTGCTTCCTGGCAGGGGGTTAGACTGGATGGCCCACAAGATCTCTTCCAACTTAATGGTTCTATGATTACAGTGTTCAACGGAGAAAAAGTTGCGGGCCTAAAAATAGTTGTTCTTTTATGATTTTGGGATGCTGAAAATGAAAATGACATTTAAAAATGTATATTGGCTCTAGTTTTTATGATATAAGCAATCACATGATCACGTATGGTTGAAAAAATGCATGTTGCGACTTACACTATGGAAGATTCTAGAATACTCTAGAAAGTTTGATGACGCAGTATTAGTGCCGTGTGCAAAAGCCAGAAAGCCCTATATAAGGCGAGACTTTTGAACGGTGAGGGTCAGTCAGTTGAAGACTGAGACAGTATCGTTAAACATCGTTTTACATTGTTCTTTTTACTGTAGTTATGCTTCGCACGTGTGTAAATAAAGCACTATGGAAAAAAGATATCAAGGCAAATGGACTCCATCAATGCTGTCAGACTACTGCTGGAGCATTGTAAGAGACAATCCTTTCCTTGAATACAAAAGAAAAGTCAAGAGAAGCAAACAGGATATAAACTAAAGTCACGATTAAAGCGACATTTAAACTTTCAGACTTTCAACTGCATTAGGCCTACTAATATAGTTTCTTGCTGCACAAACATAAACAATAGACTAATTAAATAAATATTTCTCATGTATAAACTATTGGCAATATAATTTGACTAAAATTTAGTAAATATTCATGGTTTATATACATGTAGTAAGGTTAGGTGCATTATCATAATATTAACAAATTACCTATTGTGGAGAAAATTGAAATAGCTGTTGCATAAAAACCAGAGCCAATTAACACATTTAATTATTATATTTGAATTCAGCATGTTAAATTTATTAAGAAACGGCACATTTCGTTTCTGTAACTGAGAAAAACTGAAAATTTGTAGAGCAGTGTATTATTATGATGGTGAAACATCAGTAGAGAACGTATCTGGAACATGGCCATACAGTCCAGAAAACTCACAGCATGAAAGCCTTTGACAACACATAAACAATATTTCTTTAATGCAGACATGGGCAAACTTTGGCCCTTCAGGTGTTTTGGACTTCAACTCCCACAATTCCTAACAGTCTCGGGCCGCTAAAGCCGCTAGGGAAGTAATGCTACCCCTCTATTCTGCTTTGGTTAGACCACACCTGGAATATTGTGTCCAATTCTGGGCACCACAATTCAAGAGAGATATTGACAAGCTGGAATGTGTCCAAAGAGAGCGACTAAAATGATAAAAGGTCTGGAGAACAAGCCCTATGAGGAGCGGCTTAAGGAGCTGGGCATGTTTAGCCTGAAGAAGAGAAGGCTGAGAGGAGATATGATAGCCATGTATAAATATGTGAGAGGAAGCCACAGGGAGGAGGGAGCAAGCTTGTTTACTGCTTCCTTGGAGACTAGGACGCGGAACAATGGCTTCAAACTACAAGAGAGGAGATTCCACCTGAACATGAGGAAGAACTTCCTGACTGTGAGAGCCGTTCAGCAGTGGAACTCTCTGCCCAGGAGTGTGGTGGAGGCTCCTTCTTTGGAAGCTTTTAAACAGAGGCTGGATGGCCATCTGTCAGGGGTGATTTGAATGCAATATTCCTGCTTCTTGGCAGGGGGTTGGACTGGATGGCCCATGAGGTCTCTTCCAACTCTTTGATTCTATAAGCAACTGAGGGGGAAAAGGAAAGGGCCTGGGGTTTAGGAATTGTGGGAGTTGAAGTCCAAAACACCGGGGGGGGGGGTGGTTTGCCCATGCCCAATATAGGTTGTGGAGCCCATACCCAAGGTTTCATTTATCTGTAGCCTGAAGGAAAATGCTTTCTCTGGGAATTTGCAAAATCCCCCAGGTGATTCTATGGCATTGTTGACGTCCAAAACAAAGTCTAACAGCCTCAGGCCTCTTAAGCGGCTGAAGGGGAAAAGGAAAGGGTCTGAGGTTGTTAGGAGTTGTGGGAGTTGAAGTCCAAAATCCCTGGAGGGAGGGCCCAAGTTGGCCCAGGCCTGCTTTAACCACAGGGCCCTGTCTGCGCACGCGCAGTAGGCGCAACTGACTCCCCAGAAGACCAATCTTTCCGCCCTGACTCGGCTTTTCACGCACGCGCAGTGAAGACAGTAGTGCTGGGCGCTGCCGGGCAGGTCGGGGTCCGGGTCCTGGCGGAGCAGCTTCGCCGCTTTCTCGGGCAGCATGTCCCCGTGGATCTGGTCCAGATCTCGGCGTCGCCGCTTCACCTTCCACTGCCGGGCCAGGGAGTGGGCCTTGTGGGCGCCCGTCCGGCGACAGCTCTTCGGCGCCATGTTCTCCTCGCGGGAGAGCCTGGAAAGAGAAGCCACTTGCACTTCCGGCGCTCTAACATCAACGTCACCGCGCGGTGAAATGACGTTTCTCCCGCCTTAAAGGGACCTTTTTGGGAAAGGCTCTTGCACTGAAGGGAGGCTGTGGAAATACAAGCCTCCAACACAGAAGTTTATAAAACAGGCCTGGGCCAACTTGGGCCCTCCAGGTGTTTTGGACTTCAACTCCCACAATTCCTAACAGCTCTAAAGAAATGTAGATTTGAATTCCTAACTGGATAAAAGTAGAATAATTTTTTGTTTATACATTTTAATTAATTGATGTCATCGTAATTAGTATATTTTCACTGTTTAGTGTTTAATGCTTCTATTTTGCTTCCCTTTCAGACAAACGCTTCAAGCTCTGAGGATGACCTGGGAAGGAATCCCACTGGAGCATTGCAGCACACCCAAATACTTGGGAGTTACTCTGGACCATGCTCTGACCTACAAGAAGCACTGCCTGAATATCAAGCAAAAAGTGGGTGCTAGAAACAATATCATACGAAAGCTGACTGGCACAACTTGGGGATCACAACCAGACACAGTTAAGACATCTGCCCTTGCGCTTTGCTACTCTGCTGCTGAATACACATGCCCAGTGTGGAACACATCTCACCACGTTAAAACAGTGGATGTGGCTCTTAATGATAAACACCGCATTATCACAGGATCTCTATGCTCCACTTTGTTGTTGTTCATTCGTTCAGTCGTCTCCGACTCTTCGTGACCTCGTGGACCAGCCCACGCCAGAGCTCCCTGTCGGCCGTCACCACCCCCAGCTCCTTCAAGGTCAGTCGAGTCACTTCAAGGATGCCATCCATCCATCTTGCCCTTGGTCGGCCCCTCTTCCTTTTACCTTCCACTTTCCCCAGCATAATTGTCTTCTCTAGGCTTTGCTGTCTCCTCATGATGTGGCCAAAGTACTTCAACTTTGTCTCTACTATCCTTCCCTCCAATGAGCAGTCGGGCTTTATTTCCTGGAGGATGGACTGGTTGGATCTTCTCGCAGTCCAAGGCACTCTCAGAACTTTCCTCCAACACCACAGCTCAAAAGCATCTATCTTTCTATGTTCCACACCACTGGTGAAATTATACTGTTTAGCTCAGTGTTTCTCAACCCCTAGGGGGGGTCGCAAAAGGGTGTCCGAGGGGTCACCAAAGACTATCAGAAAACACAGTATTTTCTCTTGGTCATCTCGGTTACGTGTGGAAAATTAGGTCCAATTCTATTGTTGGTGGGGTTCAGAATGCTCTTTGATTGTAGGTGAACTATAAATCCCAGCACCTACAACTCCCAAATGCCAAGGTCTATTTCCCCCAAACTCCCACTAGTGTTCACATCTGGGCATATTGAGTATTTGTGCCAAATTTGGTCCTGAACCATCATTGTTTGAGTCCACAGATGTAGGTGAACTACAACTCCCAAACTCAAGATCAATGCCCACCAAACCCTTCTAGTGTTTTCTGATGGTCATGGGAGTCCTGTGTGCCAAGATTGGTTCAGTTCCATCATTGCTGGAGATCAGAATGTTCTTTGATTGTAGATGAACTATAAATCCCAGTAAGTACAACTCTCAGCTGATAAAACCAGTCCCTCCCCCCAACCCCACTAGTATTCAAATTTGGGCATATTGGGTATTTGTGCCAAATTTGGTCCAGTGAATGAAAATACATCCTGCATATCAGGTATTTACATTACGATTCATAACAGTAGCAAAATTACAGTTATGAAGTAGCAATGAAAATAATTTTATGGTTGGGGGTCACCACAACATGAGGAACTGTATCAAGGGATCGCGGCATTAGGAAGGTTGAGAACCACTGGTTTAGCTGGTATCGCACCACCTGACATCCGCTGGGAAGTAGCAGCCAGCAATGAAACGACCAAGGCACTGATATTTCGAACCCATCTTCTGTATATCAGCAAGCACATTAAATCAAGAAACTGCTTCCTAAGATCTACAGAGATACTTGCAGGAACACCTCAGCAAGTGGGAGTCCAAAAGTGGTAGGCTAAAACCAGGAACCTCAATCAGTGGCTGAGACTGATTGAGAGACTCCCTCCTGGGCATACAGAAGATTGGGCGACTTAGAAGGTGCTGAACAGATATCTTGACCAATCAGAAACCATATAGAATCATAGAATCAAAGAGTTGGAAGAGACCTCATGGGCCATCCAGTCCAACCCCCTGCCAAGAAGCAGGAATATTGCATTCAAATCACCCCTGACAGATGGCCATCCAGCCTCTGTTTAAAAGCTTCCAAAGAAGGAGCCTCCACCACACTCCGGGGCAGAGAGTTCCACTGCTGAACGGCTCTCACAGTCAGGAAGTTCTTCCTCATGTTCAGATGGAATCTCCTCTCTTGTAGTTTGAAGCCGTTGTTCCGCGTCCTAGTCTCCAGGGAAGCAGAAAACAAGCTTGCTCCCTCCTCCCTGTGGCTTCCTCTCACATATTTATACATGGCTATCATATCCCCTCTCAGCCTTCTCTTCTTCAGGCTAAACATGCCCAGCTCGTTAAGCCGCTCCTCATAGGGCTTGTTCTCCAGACCTTTTATCATTTTAGTATGATAATCAGAAATGATCAGAAATATGTGTTTTCTGATTATCTTTGGTGACCTCTCTGACACCCACTAGTGAGCCCCCCAGAGGTCCCGACCCCTAAATGGATCCAACCCAGTTTACTTGTATGAACGTATCTCCTTCAGTGAGACACCTAGGAGGTGAGATTGTCTGGGGAGATTGTCTGTCTCGATCCTCCCTCCTTCCCAGGTGTGGTTGGGGACAAGAGTGGTGGCCTCTCAGTTATGGAACTCCCAAAAGAAATTAGGTCAGCTCCTTCTTTCCTTCAGGAAAAGGTTAAAGACATGGATGTGGGATCAAGCGTTCAGTTAGTAACCCACTAAAGAACTATGGAATAGTGCAATGACAATTTGGAATGACCATAGATTATGATTTCGTATAACGTGATTTTAAATAGTGTTTTAAGGTTTGATATGTTTGTTCTTAGGGCCCCCTGGTGGCACAGCAGGTTAACCCGCTGAGCAGCTGAACTTGCTGACCAAAAGGTTGGTTCAAATCCGATGAGCGGGGTGCCAACCTAGCAGAAAGAAAACATACAAGTGTGAGTAGATGAATAGGTACCACTTCTGCGGGAAGGTAACGGTGCTCCATGCAGTCATGTTGGCCAAATAACCAGGAGGTGTCTATGGACAATGCTGGCTCTTCAGCTTAGAAATGGAGATGAGCACCACCGCCCAGAGTCGGACACGACTAGACTTAATGTCAGGGGAAACCTTTACCTTTACTGTTTGTTCTTAATTATTGTTTTAATACAGCTGTTTATTTCACTACAGTATATGTATGTTTACATGGCTTTGAATTGTTGCCTATACATGTAAGCAGCTTTGAGTCTCCTGCAAGGTTGAGAAAGGCGGGATAGAAATAGGGTAAATAAATAAATAAATAAATAAATAAATTTTGTTTTGATATGTGTTATAGTGTATTTACAAGTTTTAATAATTTTATAAATTGATATTATCTATTTAGTTTTGCCTGGTTTTTAATTATGCAGTTGCCAGTCCATACAGTATGTAGTATTTTAAGGGTGCATCTCGCCATCGATATATGTAGCATTTTAATGATTTATAGGATTTTAATTGTGTATTCTATATTGTATTTAATAATCTGGTTTTCATGTATTTATCTATTTGACCTATATGTGAGAGACCTATGGTCTAAGCATCAAATAAACTTGACTTGATATTATTGTATTTATTATGGTATGTATAGTGTGGCATTGAATTTTTGCCATGATCTGTAAGCTGCTCTGAATCCCCTTCATGTGAGAAGAATGGGGTATAAATGAAGGAGATGTAGTTTTATACAATTTTATAAATGCTATATAGGGCTGTACAAAGGTATAGCTTTGAAAAAGAGCTGCCACTGGAGTTTGAGGAGTAGCTCTCATGCTTAACCTCCCTATTCTTTCACATAGCATTCTTGCTTTAACTTGTTAAGAGCGCATCCCCATGAGTCAGAGTCACTTGAAAAAGATATGAATTTACAATAAATTTCCAGTTTATTCCAGTTTCTGCTGTTTTTTATCTGTTTGCTTGCTTAGTAGTAGACAGCCAATCAAAAACCTAGTTAAGTAGGTTAGGTAAAGATTTCCCCCTGACATTAAGTCCAGTCATGTCAACTCTGGGGGTTGGTGCTCATCTCCATTTCTAAGCCAAAGAACCAGTGTTGTCCATAGACACCTCCAAGGTCATGACTGCATGGAGCACTGTTACTTTCCTGCCAGAGCGGTACCTACTGATCTACTCACATTTGCATGTTTTTGAACTGCTAGGTTGGCAGAAGCTGGGTCTAACAATGGGAGCTCACCCCGCTCCCTGGATTCAAACCTGTGACCTTTCAGTAAGCAAGTTCAGCAGCTCAGCACTTTAACCACTGTGCCACCGGAGGCGCCAATAAGGTAAGTATAGACCATGTGTTAACACCAATCAAAATGTGCTTTTTGGATTTCTGTAAAACAATAAAAGATCCCAACCCCATTTTTGGGGCATGGCAGTATTTTTTTTTAATTAGAATTTTATTAATTTTTATATAGATTACAACGAAAGAGTGAGAACAATAAAGTATAGGAAAGTGAGGAAATAAAGAAAAAAAGGAGAAAAAAGAAGAAACAAAAAAAATATACTAAAATCCCAAACAACCCCTAAAAAAAATAAAAAAGGGAAAAAAATAAAAAAAATCTACAAAAATACACAAAAAACACACAAAAAAAGAAAAAAAACTGACTTCCATTCCATCTTCTTGGATCATATCTTCTTATTATTCAAAAATATAAAATAAGTTCAAAAAGAAATTGTCTCTCTTGTTTCTTATTTTCCCAAATTGTCCAGATATTCATGGAGATTATCCCAATTCGTTCTTCTTAGTATCATACCTGTATTTTTCTTCAACAAAAAAGTCAATTCATCCATGTCCTTTATTTCT